GTTTTTATACTTTTTGTTTTTGTTGCTCGAAGTCTCCATTATTATTTTCATCCGCAATGTTAATTCCATTGTTTTTAAATATGCTTAGATGGGTGGCAATGTAGCACTTACAATATTAAATTATCTAACGCGTAACTAACAATAATGTTAAATTAAATGTCAAAATAAGAAAGGAAGAGACAAAACAATCACAAAATATAGAGTAATGAAGATCAACATGAAGAAATTGAAAGTTATGTTTGACTACATGAAACAAAAAAAGTTCCAGCATCAATATTAACTAAAATTACAACCAACGGCTACAAAATTAGAAAAATAAAACAAAGTACCTTGAGGGACGAAACCAAAGCAAATGTGAAGAGACAGGTTTGAAGTTTGTATAAATGTAAGAAGCAAAACATGACCTCTGTTTGACATGTCTGTAGTAAAATGACATTAGTTACGTGTGTGATAAAAAAAATTATAAGAACTTAGAGCGACGAAAAAAAGTATAAGAACTAATAACAAAAAATGTATGATAAAACTTTTGAAACCAATCATTATATTTTGCCAAAAAATATATTACAAATAAGTGTCAGTTACAACGAAAGTTATAATTAACTGCTTAAATACGAAGCCAATATAATACATATTTTTGAAAGAATTATTTCTAAAAACACATCAAATATAAATCTTCTTTCTTTATGAATTTTTTCCTGGGAGGAAAGATATCAACATATCAAATACAAAAATTCAAGAACGCAGTTTATGAAACATACATAAGAAAGTGACATCTTTCCTTTCTTGTACGGGAGCACATTCGGTTTCATATGTCTAATGTTACCTTTCTTTTTTGGAGACATGAGAAGAAAGAAACTAAATGCCAGTGCTAATGTCCTATACCAAAACAACTACTAACTTAGGGGGAGGGGAGAGAGAATAGAATAAAACTCATTAATGCAAGAAAAAGCTAATTGGAAAGAAGGTTGGTAGCTTCGCTGGCATCCCTCAAAATCCATTAGATGAGCACCAGCTAATCTCGAGCTAGCAATGATTAGATTTCACTAACAAGATTAGCGTTTAAATGTGCTCCCTTTCCCTTAAATGTGTTTGGGTGCATTTATTTTTGGCAGTCCTCATCACCTTTGATGAGATTTGGACTGTCTTAATTTAATTTGGATGATCCAAATTTAAAGTTTTAAATTTTGATTTTGATTTTATATTTATTCAAATAAATTTTTTAATAGATCTCATCAAGGGTCATGCTCATCCGACCCTTGATGAGCATTGAAGCTAGATCGTATTTAGTTTTTGTGAGAAATGTAGGAGAAGGAAGGAAAGAGAGATTTTAATAAATTTAATTTAATTTAAAAAATAGGAGAAGTATGGTTAAAAATTTTTAATTAATTTTTTTATCCTTTTATCTTACATCCTCTCTTTTTTAAAATCTTGTAAAATGTAAAAAATTGGAGAAGTATGGTTAAATTTTTTTAATTTTTTATTATCTTTTTATCTTATATCTTCTTTTCATTAAAATCTTATAACATCACATATCCATTTTTTAAAATTAAATTCATTAAAATCTCTCCTCCGTAACCCCTCCATTCCATTTCCGGTCAGACTGCATGATCAAACACCTCCTATATTGGCTTATTGCTCCAAATTTGAAATGCCAAAAGCAACAACAATATTCTTTGGAGCCAAATCAATATGTTATTGGGCCGATTTGTTTAATCTTAACAAAAAATTATTTTGATTAGTCTACTTGATAACATTGTTGGGAGAATTTTAAATGAAACACGGCTAGTTGTTGGAAAAACAATTGTTTTCATCTTATTTTAATATATAATTAAAATTATTTATCAAAATAAGTTCAAAATATTTTTTTCTTCAACAACCTATAATATATATAATCTTTTTGTTATCATGTTTATAAAATATTACATGATGAGCACTTTTTTTTTTGCCACAAAAAATCTAGAGGTGTTAAGTTTTGGGGATTCAATAGTGACTAGAGCATAGACTATTTTTTAGGGCTCAAAGAATATTTAAAAAATTATTTACAAATTACTTACATGTTAAGTACTCAAAATTGACAGCGAATTTCCAACACATAGGATATGTGTTGGATGAAAAGCACATAAATAAATGTTATGGTGGGGACAATATTTCTTCGAATCCAAGGAAATGAATTTGACCCAAAAAGTTATTAGATCAAATGTTATTGATTTATAAATATTCTAAATCAATCTACCTAATATGTTAAATAAATGAAATTTGTATGAAAGTAAAACACACAACCTCTCCTCTATTATAGTATAGCTAGTATGTGGTCCGTGAGATGCACAGAATCTGAAAAAAATTATTTAAATAAATAATAATAACTAAAAAAAATTAAAAATCTAAAATGTTATTGTGTGAAAGTAATTTTTTTTACTAATGTTTAAATAAATTGAAGGAATCGATACAACAAACAATGTCTAACGATGAATTTAAAAAGAGACAATAAAGTAAAATACATATTTTTGATAATAAAAAAAATCCATTTCTTTGTTTTCATTTATGGCAAAATATGCAAATTTTTTTATTTGTTTTTCTATCTTAATGACTAAAATACAAAGCTAACAATCACTTGAATAAAAGTAAATCAACAAAATAAGCACATGAATAGAGTTTGTAAGAATAATATGATCCAAGTCTAGATCTTTAAACTCATAGTTGAATGGAAATAAAACCAAAGTCATAGAATAAGATAGACTCACGCTCATGTGATGTAGAGTTTGAGCACTTTCTCCATCATCTTTATCTCCACCTTTAATGCATTAACAATAACTATAATTAGAAAATTTTCATACAGATTTCAAAGGAAAATGGTAGAAATTCACAATAAAATTTGAGAAATTATAATTTGGCATATTTAGTTTAGTCTTTATGGTAGAGGATGAGATCTTAGAACATACTTTACTTGCACAAGAAAGCAAAGTCATTAAGAGTAAAAAATAAATCTTGTTTGATAAAATGAGAGAGAGTTTTGAGAATTCAAATAAAAAATTTTATCTTTGAACATATAGAAGATGGCTAGTCTCCTTCGATGGTCACAAAAAGGAAGACATGTAGCTCGTAACTTTCAAACTACAGGAGTTATAAAATAAAGATGGTAGTTATAAATTTATAATTTGCACAATAAGTGAAAATTAGTGCAACCAACCCATATTAGGAAAAATTGAACACCATTTAACATATCATTCTACAACCACCTTATCCCATATAACTACACTACCCACATTAGACATGTTAGTGTTAATTAAAAAATTAAAATTCAACTTTAAATTTAAAGCTAACGTGGCTTGACAAGTTGAGATAATGTAGAGATTTTTAGGGGTGAGACAGTTTTATATTTATTTTAAATTATGAGTAAAATCAAAATTAAAATTATACTGATATTTTAAAAATTAAATTTTAAATTATAAGTAATTTTGTGAAATTTTAAAATATAAATTAAAATTTCACTAAAAATTTTAAAAATAAAATTTTTAAAATTAAATTTTAAAATTATGGGCAAGAAGTTGGTCTGTTTGGAAAATGGATGAATTTTTTTTGGAGATGAGGAGGATATACATAATTTCATTATTCTTTTATATTAGAAAGTAAAAATTTTAAATAAATTAATTAATGAGAAGTTGAGATAATGTAGAGATATTAGAGAGGTGAGGTAGTTTTATTTATATTTAAGAATTAAAAATCAAATAAAGCAAAATTACATCAAAAACACATGTCATTGAGAGGATGCTGCTCATGGTTCTACTAATATTTTTAAAATTTAAATATAAATCTAGTTGTAATTTCAACAAATGTTTAAAATTAAAATCTCAAATTTTCAATAATTTTGAAACGGAAATTTTAAAATTAAAATTTATAATTATGAGTAAGAAGTTGTAAAGTTTGGATGATGGAGGGATTTTCCAAGGCGAGGAAGGTACAAATAAGTTTTTATTATTTTAAACATAAAAATTTTGAGATTATAAATAAATTAATTAAAATTACATAAGGGACACATGTCATCAAGATGCTGCTTGCAGTTCTACTTATGTATGTATGTATGTATGTATGTAGGTTAATAAAAAGTTGGGATAATGTAGAAATATTTAGAGGTGAGGTAGTTTTATTTTTTAAAAAATTTAAAATTAATATAAATAACTTCACTTGAAGAAATTGATATAATAGGGAGATATTTGAAGATGAGGTAGTTTTATCTATTTTTAAAAATTTAAAAATAAATAAATAATATAATTAAGGGCACGTATATATATATAGATTACAAAGACCTTCTACCTTAATGGTATGAGCTGTTAGGAGCAAAAACGGGAGGTAAATGAAAAGAAATTACTTCTGCTCAATGTCCTTAATATTAACATCCACTTAATTTGCTCTCAATTGAAGTTAATAATTTTGAAGAGAAAAGCAATTATGATAACATTTGAATTATATTTTTAGAAAAAAGTAAAAACATGATTTATCTATAATAAAGTGTTCAAGTATTGCACGTTCAAGTTTTATTTGCGTGTTATAATTCTTATCCGTGGATTTACACGTGTAGTGTTTTAGATGAACAAGGAACCTGCTGGTGTTATAATAATAGGTCAACCATATTAAACATATAGGTGACCGACTTTGGTTTTGTTGAAAAAATATCATGCTTGTCTGGAAAAAAATAATTAGTTTAATTCGAAATAAAAAATGATCAAAATATAGTTCAAAAATAAGAAAATTTGGACCGTACCTCAAATTCAATTTTCTTTCGGATGGTTTAGAGATGTCTTTAATGAGGACTGTTTTTAATTGTTTTAGAGGGATGAAAATTGAAATCTCATAATTACGTGAATAAATTTATCATAACTTCTTTGTAATTTTCACGAATAGTATGGCTTCTTTATACATATAAATATATATGAACTGAAAATATTTGTTGGTGTTCGGACGTGAAATACATAAAAATCTAACAACAAAGAAAGATATATATAAGATATAGCAAATCGATTTGCTCCTCTGAATCAAACCGTTTATTAACTTTCAATCAATCAAATATATAATAATAAAAAAAAAAAAAATACAAAATATTGATCAAACCATCAACAACAAATATCAGATCCCATGAAAGTCCCATACATGCAAGCAATTGTGTTCATTGCTTCTTCTTCATGTTCAAGAAGGTGAACAGTGGTTTTCTTGGCACAGGAATGAACTTCACAACCCAACCAATAGGCCAAGAAATAGCTGCCATTAAAATGCAAGCACCCCATTGTCCCCAGTTTAACCTCTCAGTATCTGCAAATTTCTTTAGAAACTCAACCATCAATACTTGAAGCACGATGGTTATCCCTATGATTCCTAGAAACAACTTGTTCTTGTGAATCCCCTTGAACACATTCTTCTTCTCTAGCTTCCTTGCATTAAACTCATTAAACACTTGGCATAACACAAATGTGTTGAAAATCAAAGTGTCATTTACCTCTGAACTCACCCTAAATATAGCCTCACCTTTGAATTGTAATGTCAAGAGAATTGTGATCTGGTATAAAGCTTGGGCTAATAGATTTCTCCACATGATGTTGGTGATAAGAGGCTCAGTTCTACCCACTGGGGGTTTGTTAAGTAACTCCGTTGTAGGCTTCTCCGTTGCCAGAGCTAGAGCACCCAAGGTGTCCATTATCAAGTTCACCCACAAGAGTTGAACTGCTGTTAATGGCACTTCTCCTGCTGATACTGCAGCGACAAAGTTGATTGCAAGTGCCGCAACATTTACCGTCAGTTGAAACTGAATGAACTTTTGGATATTGTTATAGACACATCTTCCCCACTTTAGAACTGTCACAACTGAGGCAAAATTATCATCCAAGATAACTATATCTGAGCTTTCCTTTGCAACTTCAGTGCCTTGAATCCCCATCGAAAGTCCTATATCAGCTTCCTTTAATGCGGGTGCATCATTTGTGCCATCTCCTGTGACTGCAACTACATGGCCTCTCTGTTTGAGGCATTGAACCATAAGGAGCTTGTCAAATGGGGAGGATCGTGCCATCACACAAATTTTCTCCACCCTATCTAGTCTCTCTTCGGGAGATAAGTTTCGAAATACCTCACCTTCAATTATAGCTTTTAATGTGTCTTGATTTGGATGGAGAATACCACATTCTGTGGCTATGGCTTTGGCTGTGAAAACATTGTCTCCTGTGATCATCTTCACATTTACTCCTGCTTGTTGGCAATCATTTACAGCTTTCTTGACACCTGGACGACATGGATCCTTAATACCAACAACTCCTAAGAGGGTGAGGCCATCTTCTTTTACCTTTTGGACTCCTCCATCATTTTCTTCAGCTACTTTTGTGTGTGCAAAAGCAATACATCTGAGGCTACTAGCCGCCATTCCTTGAATGATTTGCTCAAACACCAACCGACTGCTGTTGTCAAGTTCTTTTATATTGCCGGAAGCATCGTAGTACTTTGAGCATAATCTTAGTACCATTTCAGCTGCTCCTTTCCAATGTGCATGGACTTGGTTGTCTGCTTTCCTTCTAATCAAAACCCCACTTCTCTTCTTCTTTGAATTGAAGGCTTCCACATGAAGGATGGTGCAGTTTTGTGTCAACTCCTTCATGTTCATGTTCAATTCAAGAACAGCCCATGAAAGAATGGCCTTTTCTGTTGGACTACCTGTAAATTCATATTCAGGATCTATTGATTTAGACTTATAAACACTACCTGTTGTGTTAAGGGCAACCCCTTCTTGGATCAACTGAAGAACATTTGAATTTACTAATGATGATGTATGAGCCTTCCCTTCGATGAGTTCTTTTCCAAGCCAGAACTTAGTCACTTTCATCTGATTAAGTGTGAGAGTCCCAGTCTTATCGGTGCATATGGTTGTAGCAGATCCCATAGTCTCACAAGCAGAGAGCTTCCTCACCATAGCCATGTCAACCATCATCTTCTTCATGGAATAAGCTAGTGTCAAAGTCACAGCCAAAGGGAGCCCTTCTGGAATTGCAACAACAACAATAGTGACTGCAGCAGCAACAATTCTGACAACTCCATTCATGATGTCATTAAACTTGGTGTTGCTCCCATTGAACTCTTTATTCCCATTCTCATCTGTTGTGTTCCCTGTGAAGTATCGAACTAACACAACAACAAGAACAAGAAAAGCCACAGCCAAACCAATCTTGCCTATTGCTGTAGTAAGCTTATTAAGGCGTTCTTGCAAAGGGGTTTCTTCATTGTTGTCTCTGCTTATCGTAGACATCATTTGACCCCATGTCGTGTTCATCCCAACAGCAGTAACGAGCATTTTGGCGAACCCATCAGCCACTTTTGTGCCAGAGAACAAAAACGGGATTTTATCTCCGTTAATTTCTACATGGTCGCTCTCCCCTGTCATGCTTGACTCATCAACTTGCAGAGAATGGCCTTCCAAGAATAAGCCATCAGCGGGAACTTGGTCTCCAATCTTCAACCACACAACATCACCGACCACGATGTCGTATATAGAAATTTGTTGCCGGCGACCACTGCGTAGAACATCAACTTGGATATTATTGCTAACTTGGGACAACTTGTCAAATTGTCTGTTCTGTTTATAGTTACTGATGGAAGACACAACAATGACAAGAAAAACGGCAACAAAGATGCTTCCACCTTCATACCAGCCTTCCTTGATTCCTTTCTCTTTGATGCCAAAGCCAAGAGACAGAGCAGCACAAACCAAGAGAATCAGAATGGTTGGATCCTTGAAGCCTTCAATCACAAAGTGAAGGAAACCTCTCGTAGGTGGTTTTGCGTAGTTGTTAGAACCAAACGCGTCACGCCGCTGAATGACGTCATTGGAATCGTCATCATCATCACCGCCTTTGACTCCATAATTTACGTCGGTTTTTAGAGCAGAGACGACACCATGGACCCCACCAAGATTTTGCAGAGTTTCTATATTCTTCTCCTTCACGAGATGACTGAGGGTGGTTTGAGTAACGCTAAAGGAATGATTTGGGTTTAAATCAATGACGGTGTAGGAGGAAGAAGGTGACAACTCAGGCTTGTTCTTCTTTTTGGTGTCGGTGGTGATGGGGAGAAGCAAATTGGATTTGAAGTGAGACAAGAGAGCTCTGGAACAATATATGCTAACAAACGCAAAATGCCATTTTTTGTTTGGTTTGCTGAGATTCTTTGGGGCAGCCAGAAGTGTTTGTATTGTCTCCAAATTGGTCACAAATGCCATTATATTTAATTTTCTTTTTGATAGGTAGAAACTAACTAGTATACAATAAGAGAGATGATAGATTCTTGTTTGGGCAACGAGCTCAACAAGTTAACTGAACGCTTACACAACACATACAAGGCTGTGAAATTTCAATGCAGTAACTGAAGAAGGCAATGAGAGATGACAGAGACAACGTAAGATCTGAAAGGTTATATAGCAATAATAAAATAGAATTAAGACTGACGGATCGGATATGCGAAGAGCTGAAGATCTTAAAGCCTTAATAGTACATAATGCTATATATAAACGCTTAATAGTACTACGTAAATGAAATATGGAGGCAGAAGAGTTTTTGATGAACCTGAAGAATATAGTAGAGATGACGAGAGTGTTTCGAATGGAGCAACCCGAAGATATGATGATGAAAGCTTAATAATACAGTAGGGTGGTGAATATGAGACGATGGAAAGATGGTGCAAATTAAACACTTTATATAGAGTAGCTTACCTGAAGAAGAAGTTATACAAAGTGTGGCCTTTGCGTAGGAACTTCGTGGTTTGAACTGGGACACCGAGGTCTCGCGGAACGCTCCAATGGCGCGTATCTGACCTCACGCATGTCTTTTCAGTTCTTTTCCCCCTTCTTTAAAGCTAGAGTTGGTGGCCCACCAGCATCTTTTTTGCATTTACATACAATTAAATTAGATGCTTTATTTTTCAATCGTTCTACTACAAGGAATCACTGTTAGTCTATTTTGTTTGTTATAAATAATGGATATTGTTCAAATATTCTCAATTTTGAATAGAGGGTTAAGGGAATGTTTTGGCAAAACAAAAAAACAAAAATGGAGTGTATGTTTTCATCGGAGCGATTTTGTTATTTACAAACTTGTGTTCATCTATGAAATTTATTTAAATAAAAAAATAATCGATTTGGTAGAGTTTTTGACAAAAACTAATATGAATATTTTATTTTTTAAAATAAGAAATTATTTAGAAAAAATTTTACGTGAAAAAATTTAAGATTTATTAGATCGAGGAGAATTGAGATTTCCTCTTAAGTGGGTAAGAATTGGGTAAAAGAATTTAGACTAGAGACGATGACAATTATCATTGTTTTGCTTTTTTGGACCGCTACCATTAAGTTAGGTGATGAAACCTGTTGGCGGGAAGTTTACTCCATACTTTAGAGAGTGAATAAAATTATTTTAAGATATACAATTCATTATAATGTTTAAAAATCGTAGAAATAAGTTATGATTAATTATTATAAAATTACTATTCATATAAATCGAATGTTCTAACACAACTACAAAAATACTGCCTCCATCTCTTTCTATAATATATTTTTTAGAGTGATCGGATAAAAAACATTTTTTACAGTGATTTAGTGTCTCATAACATAATATATTTCACTCTATCAAAACACACATTTTACTACCCCCAATGTATCTCACTTTGACGACTGCTACGTTGCTTTTAATTTCTACAAAAAAATAAATTTAATTAATTGTTTTTAACTTTTTATTAAACTTAATTTCAAACTGTATTTAATAAATGATAATGAGTTTATTTTAAAATTTCCCTCATTATTATACTCAATAAATATTTATTTATATTTTTTTCAAATGTATTTACTAAATGGATGTTCACAAAAAAAATTTATGAACTGGCCGGGTATTCCCAATTTTACCAAAATATGATTCATAAAATAGGAAGGATTAAGTGTCTGCCTTATATATACTAATAAACAAATCTAACGTCATTGTAAAATTACTGTAGATGGAAAATTTGAATTTTAATTTTTAGAAATCTTATTCATCTACACAAGTTTCTTCTAGTTCATCTTCTAGGATTTGCTAAAGATAATTCAAAGGGTTTTTTTATTAACTTTTTTATAAGGTCTTCAATGTTATCATTAATAAAATTACATCATTTTAATAAAATAAAATGTTATATATTACTATTAGAATTCTAATGATTTTTTTTTTGAAATAACGTATCTCTTTAATTTGTTATTTTTCTCTCTCTTGCTAACATCATCAATATAACAAAATCAATTTATACTTATAACTATATGATATGGCATATTTTTATGAGATACTTCTTCCGAATTACAATATAAGATATCTTTTAAAATACTTCTTCTGAATCACAATATAAGATATTTTTTAAAAGTTTTACTTAATCCAAAATATAGAGCATTGAGCAAATTTTGTAATTATTTTTTGCAATTATACCCCTATTTTATTTGTTATTTTTTGAAAAAAATAATACATTAAAATTTTAATTATCATTATCAAAATATTTATATAGGGTATTTAATAAGGATAAAATTAAAAATATATAAATTTTCTTAAAAAAATTGAAATTTCAACTACCAATTTTTGAAAACCAAGAATTAATTATGATATTATATATTTGACTAAAATACATAAAACTTCCTTGAACTTTAAAGTAATTGCATATGACCCCATCTTTAAAAGTTTAAAATTAAACTCCTTAACCTTTAATTTTATTTTTCAAAGCCCCTATTGTTAATTATATTATTTTTTAAAGGGATTAAAATACCATTTATATCAAAAATATTATTAAACAATATTATATTGTAGAAATATTTATAATCAATTTTTTATATTTTTTGAATAGTTGAGGCATTGATAAGAAAAAATTTCGTTATTATTGTATAAAATTTTTAATATTTACATTTATATTAGTTTTATTCATACTTCTGTGTTATCAACAGTGCATAGTTTTATTCTTTTAAAGGAAAAAATTTTATTTATATTTTCCTATTAGATTAATGTAATTGTTGGAATATTATAAAGGAATGTTATAAGTGATTAGAGTTAATCACTAGATTTGTTGGTGACACTAAAAGTTTATATAAAGGGACATTGTTAAGTTGAGTAGGGGGTTGCATCATATAAAGGGACATTGTTAAGTTGAGTAGGGGGTTGCATCCCACCTCTAAAAATGTTAACAAAGGTCCTCCTTATCTTAAAGTGTTTTTGGGATTGATGATTTATTCTCCAAGTTGGAGTTATATTGTTCATCAAATTGTTTAATTATCAATTCATTATTTTTCTTTTATTCGAGTTTTACATTAGTTAACAGTAATGCACATAATTAAAATATTTAAAATTTTAAATATTACTAGGTTAGATTAATTTATCTTTTAATACAATAAAACTATGTATCATTGGTAATAAAAAATTAATAAAACTAATAAAAGGTAAATATTTAAAATTTTATACAGTGATAATCACATTTTTTTGGCTATCAATGCCTCAACTATCAAAAAAATGTAAAAAGTTGATTAGTCATAGTTTTAAAATATAATATTTTATTTAATAATATTTTTTAATTAAATGATATTTTAACCCTCGTGAAAAAAATATAATTAACAATAGGGGTTTCAAAAAATAAAATTAAATGTTAGTGGGTTAACTTTGCATGTTTAAAGGTAAAAAGAGTTATTTGTAATTATATCAAAGTTTAGGGACTGTTATGCATTTTAACCTATATGTTTTTGTTCGGATCTGACATGGCACACGGCACTGCGCAAGAATTTTTGGTGGTCGTTGGTCGACATGTAAAAGATAGGAACTAATTCAACTCATTCCTCATTTCCAATCTAAACAATTTCCGCCACGTACGATACAGTGTTTGTCTCGAAGAAACAGTCAAACAGTCAACTTGAAGATACAGTTAAACAGTCAACTTGAAGATACAGTCAAACAGTCAACGCATAAATATTACTATTTTGTTTTGTATATAGATGAGCAAATTATCTTCACACTTTATATTCAATAATATCATAAGTTTTGAACTTATTTATTTTGTAAATCATTCTCTAAATTTTTAAAATTAATACAATCTGACTCTTGATGTTAATAAAAATCTAACTATATTCTTTATCCACACAAGTTTCTTCTAGTTTATCTTCCATGACTTACTAAAGATATTTTTAAGTTGTAATATTTCAGGAATTTACAGTTGGAATTTCATGAATTTATACTCAAAGGTTGTTATATTTTTTTATTTTAATAAGGTCTTCAATTCTGTCGTTTTCCCTTAAACTTATAGAACTTCATTGCGTATCTAAAACGTGTGATAGTCGGTCGACAGAAAAGATGGAAGCTGATGCAAACTCATTCCTAATCTAAACAATTTCCGCCACTCACGATACAATGTTTGGCTTGAAGGTACAGTGTAACAGTCAACGCGTAGATATTATTTTGTTTTAATTAGTGATTGCGTGTCTGTGATGAAAATATACTTCCAACATCTTAATTATTAAATATTGCGTTCTTATTTTTTTAAAAAAGGCAAAATTGCCAGTAAATTCTTTCTCGAGGGAAATTATTTTGAGAGATCAAGGCTAATTTAGGAACTAAATGCACCCCAAGCCAATAAAAATGCACACTAAACCTGATTTTACACTCCAAGCCTATTATCTTCTATATCAAACCCATGATCTTTCACATCAAGCCTATTATTTTGCTCATCATAAAGGTATAAATTTCATAAAAATATAACTTATTATTTTGAAAGTGACAGTCTACAAAAAAATATTAACATGCATAACAAATTGTTCAGACCACAAGCATACAAATTACATGAAATTTTCAAAGGCTAACAGTGACATATAATTTTGTTGTGCAAGATAGGCTTGGAATACAAGGTAATAAGTTTGGGGTATAAGGTCATAAGTTTGGTATGCGAAGTCATAGGCTTGAGGTGCATTTGGTCCTTAAATTGATCTTGGTCCCTCAAAATAATTTTCCTCCCAAAGAGGGATTTTATGGCAATTTTTCAAAAAAAAAAAACAACAACATGGCAAGTTATTTCTTGTTTGTGTACAAGGATGTACTCTCTTTATGAGATGTCTTCTATTAAAAATAGATAGTCTTCAATATAAGTCAATTGTTGAAATATTAATTAAATTTTTTAATATTATTCATATTTAAAGTTATTAACCACGAGAAGAAATGTAATATAAATTTAAATAAGAATAAAAATTTTATTTTTAGCTGCTGCTGGCTTTTCTATCTTATCTATCCTTTAAATAAAAAAATAAAATCAATAATTACTGCAGATTTAATAAATTATTAAATTGAGATAAACTTAGAGAACTAAAAGTTTTATCATACTCTTTTATTTTATTTTATTCAGAGAAGTAAATATGAACAATAATATTATTCGGCTAGTCGGTTAGGACCCAGGGCATCCTCTTTCCTCACATGTACATTGTTTTCTTCTCTCTCCTTTTTTTTCTTTTTTTTTTTGGGGATTTAGTTAAAAAACGATATCTAGTGATGGATACATTCTTTAAATGATGATCATTTTACGTGGAAATAATAATTAAAATTAAGAAAAATTAAAACCAATATATAAAATATAAAATCAAATATCATTAATTAGGTCTAGTAGGAGGAATTACTCCTCCAGAATATCATG